TCCCTAATATATATATATATATATATATATATATATATATATATATATATATATATGGGTGTATGTGTGTGTGTGTGTGTGCTTTTTTGTGACAAATGAGGACATTAATTTGTATAATGACAAAGGTATGACATAGGTATTACAAGGAGAAGGTGACTTTTCAGGACATTACTCCATGTCCCCACTTTTCAAAACACTTATAAATCACACAGAATGGAGTGTATTGAAAATCTGAAATAGCAGAAAGTTTCCTGTAAGGGGTAGGTTTAGGGGTAGGATTGGTGTAGGGCAATAGCACATACAGTTTGTACAGTATAAAACCCATTACGCCTATGGGATGTCCCCACTTTTCACAAAAACAAACCTGTGCGTGTGTGTGTGTGATCTGTGCTGGCAAAATGAGTCACAATGAGCAATTTTTAAAAAAATATGTTATTTCTCCATTAAAAGACCTTCAAATGATGTATGATTTGTTGGAATCAGACGAAAAATGACTGAGCTTTTGAAGGCGATAGTCAGCAAAGTAATTTTTTTTAAAAATCGAGTTATAGTTTTCTGAAGGTTCCAAAGCAAAACACCTGCAAAGTTGCATCTTTTCCTCCAGTTCTTTTCTTAATAATAATTACTATATTAATAATCACAACATAGCTATTTTTTATTTTATCTTTGTTATTATAAATAGATATAGATTTTCTTCTATAAAAGAACAGATGCAAAAAAACAACAACAACAGTAGAACAAATACAGTGGGGCAAAAAAGTATTTAGTCAGCCACCAATTGTGCAAGTTCTCCCACTTAAAAAGATGAGAGAGGCCTGTAATTTTCATCATAGGTATACCTCAACTATGAGAGACAAAATGAGAAAAAAAATCCAGAAAAAGCAAATAATGCATTACCTTTTTCATTTTACATCTAAACAAAAGCATTCAAGAAAAACAAATAATCAAATGTAAAATTCCCTTTAGTGTGTTCATTTCAAATAAATTGAATCGAATAAATCGAATAAATTAAAATTCCAATTATTATGATTTTGCCATAAACAAGTAGCCTCAATGTGGAGTACTTATAGGTGAATTCAATAATTCATAATACATAAATTAGAAACATTAATTTTTTAAATCTAGGTTGATGATTAATAAATGGAAAGGTTATCAGCATGTTGTGAATAATGAATGAGCACTTTGTGCTTTAGTCATAGCAAACTGAGTGCTAAAGATGTAGCTCTCAGCAGTCTATTATATAATATGAGGCTAATGCATGACGGTTGACTGTGGTAACTGCAGTATTCCTGCAGTAGAAACCTCTCAGCACTCCTAATCCATCAACACGCATGAGAAGCAGCATGCTCCACTCAAGCACCTCTCATATGTTATACTCTCAAAGAGTCCTGTATACAAAATCAACACAAAGCCATTACAACATATATCACCTGGTGTTTATCCTAAGACTGAATCACTCTTATAATGAACAATCTATCAATCCATCACATTAGGCCTGTCCACTTAACATGTTAATGTATTGCAATTTATTATCTCAAAAATTATGCAATTAAAATATAAATGTAATGTTTTTAATGTTTTAATGTTGGTCTGTTAATTATAGAACAAATCAAATGAAAAAATAAAAAAGTAAATAAATTAATATAAACAAAATACATAAATGCAAATCATGTAATTTAATCAATTAACAGCTCCAAACACATTACAAAATGAGGGTCAAAAAGGAGCAGCATGTAACAGGAGTGATCCGCTCAAGGTTAGTGAACAAAAGACTTGAACATGTTTTACACTAAACCTGGAGGACTAAACCTGTTGTAAAACGAGTAGATGTATAGAAAGTAAAGGTGTTTGCTGCTTTTCAAGGATGATCGCACGCTAACGTTGAGCATGAAAGGAGCCTCTCTCAAAACAAAAGACATGAAATCTGAAGTGTAGTGTGTCATTTACCGTGGGGTCTGTCCACAGTGAGCACTTCTTGCAGTGTCGGCAGGGGGCACCAGGTGAGCGAGCGTGCTGGCAGAAGTGGTTGTAGCCGTTAATAGGCTCCCGGCAGAGGTAGCACATGAACGCGCCGCAGCGACACGACATCCGGTTGCAGCCCTCCGACTTCACTAGACCTGTGGCACACTTGTGGCACTTCCTGACACGGGCAGCAGTCATCTTTTCCTCACTGGCCATGAAACAAAAGACATTTGGGTTCAGTTTACATGCAAACACTACTGGAAAAAACTGTGAGCTGCCTACCTAGACTGCATTTTAAGTAGTGGTCAACAGATACAGGTTGTTTGATGGCTGATGCTGATATCTTGGAAAGCAGGGTGGTCGATCGTTCATATAATGTTGATATATATGATTTCACACTATTTAAATATAAATTTGATTTAAAAGCAAATAATGCAAGCATAAAAATTGCTGCACTTAAATATTTTTCTTTTGACATAATATTTACTAAAATCAACAGAAATAAATCATTGTAATATGAAACGGGGAAAAAAGAGAAAAAAAATCTGTCAAATAAACAGTTTTATACAGACAGCAACTTCTTGTTTCTTTAATCCTAATCTGGCATTTTCAAAAATAAAGAAATGTTTAAAAACATGAATATGGGCCGTCATGCACATGCGGTTTTATACAGGATACAACACAAACTTAAGAAGACCTAACAGCTGTATTTGCAGAAGTTTGTGGAATTGTGTGTGTGTTTAATGACATAAATGACAAATATTTTCTGAATATAGACAATACATTAAAAGCAGCATTGTAGGCCTTTCTAATAATAGATATTTGACTTTATTAATAGACATAACTGTTAAAGACCTAACTAATGAAGACGGAGAATGACCGCTACTGAGCATCAGCATTTGGTCACGGAGTTCTTTGTGCTGTCAAAATAAAAGTTTTGCTAATGCCCAAACAGAAAAACTTGCAATTAAAAGAATTCTTCAAGCTCAGCTGAAAAAGCAGAAACAAAATGTAATCAATGAAAATTAAATTAACATTTTAATTAAAAAAAACAAACTGTTCATTGTTATTGTTAGCTCAGTTCCATTAAATAATATTAACAGAACTTTTGATTTAAATAATGTATTAGTAAATGCTGAAACAAACATTAACCAAGATTAATAAATGATTTAGGATAATTTTTCATTGTTAGTTCATGTTCAAGCAATGCAAAGTGTTACTTTGAACTGTGATAAATAGACTTAATTCAAAATAAAACATGTTATATGTAAAATTGACTACTTTAAAAAGCATAAAATACATATAATTTAGAGTACCACATCATTAGCTTAGCAAAATGCTAATATCAAACTCTATTTGAATTTATCGTGTGCTTCACATGAGGAGCGCTATTTGTATCGCTGCCTTTTCAAATGCATTTAATGGGTTTAATTTCAGTTAGGATGCTGCCATAGTAGGAAACTGTGGTTAACTAGCTACAGGAACAAAGCCAATATTTTAATTTTAGCATCAGTTATTTTGGGCTATTTAACATATAGAAAGTATACTGGTATTGAGATATATTATCTTGCCTTTGTGACACCATATTTAATTCAATCTCTCAGTCAGGGTCTCTTTCCTGTCTCTATAAATGTAGGTAACAGAAAAGGTTTGGGGTAAACAGGATACACAGTCTTTGATTCATGTGTATGACAGGAAGGAAGCCAGGCGATCACATCCTGTCCAGTCCAGAGACTGAGCAGCAGTGATAGGCTGCTTTCACACTGCATCATTTTACACAGACACCCATGCTCCAGTACACTTCCTCATGAAGGCCTGCTGTGCACAGGGGCAGCTCTGGATGATGTGTATTTGCAAACATAACACTCAAGGGAATCCATCAAATACAGTGAGTGTTTTAGCGTGCCATGAGAAAGGCCTGGGGAAACAGCTGACTCAGCATCAGGGGCAAATCCTTTAGATATTTAAACATACTTGCAGTCTGTGAGTCAGAACAGCCGGCATTGTAATCTACTCTCCCAGGATCAGTAAACAGTCCTCCATAAAATGTGCTGCACACATCTGGATATTTGAGTTGAACTGTTCTGGAACGGTGATGTAAATACAACTTAACCACTGATTTGTAGTGGTATCCTCTTTTGGAAGGCCAAACGAAGTATTTTCGCTTTCACAATGAAACACACAGCGTCACACATGGCGGGCTTGAGTGAGGAACAGCCAGCGGAGTCGATGAAAGAGCGGCCGTCGGGCTTGCGGCAACCACATGTGACGACCCCGGGCTAGACTCCGCTTCGTCCACGGTGAAAGCTGATCCGGCGATCCACAGAGCGAAGTTGATGTATTCCCTCAGCGACCAGCACGGATCAGCTCTAGGCATGACGAAGCGGATATCGTCCTCTTTTGGAAGGCCAAACACAGTTTCGCTTTCACAACGAAACACAGTGTCTTCACGACATGGTGGCAGCAACAATACTACAGCGAGAATAAAAGTTACACCTTCTTTCTTTGCATGAACATTTGGGGCGGGAGCGGGTGGGTGCGGAATATAACCTTGTGGCAAAAAAAATAGTCCCGAGCAGACCTCTACTCAGAACAAATGAGTTTACTCGCTGACTGGTCTCGATCGCGCTACTACTAAAGCCACTCCTCACTCAGTGCTGCGAGATCCAGTGAGAAGCGTTCGCACAGGTCTCCAACACACACCACAAGTGCCATTCTAGATACTAGGGGTGCTCCGATCAGGGTTTTTGAGGCCGATCACCGATCACAGAAAGCAGTATCTGCCGATACCGATCACCGATACCGAACTTTTTAAAGCATTCTTTTAATCATTTATAACTATTTATAGTGATACTCCAATCAGGATTTTTAGACATTTATTCAGGGCCTGAATTTCCTTTTTGAAAATGGGGGGAATCCCCCTCTTAGGTGTCTCTTGTGAGAGAGGAAGCAGCTTTCACACAGGAGTCCACTACTGATCCGTGGCTGTTTACCACAAACACAACATTTATCCATTAGTTTGATTTCAAATCCAAACATTGTCACTGAAAATGCTTTTTCAACATTGTGATTGTTTTTTTACACAGTACAGTAATACAATCTTTCACAGACATGTTTAAACTCAATAAATATAAGCAACACATTATTCAATGCTTTTTACTTTTGCATTTACTTCTAGATTTATATATTAAGTCAAGCAATTGGCAAAAAAATTTAACTACCGTATTGGCCCGAATATAAGACGACCCTGATTATAAGACGACCCCCTTTTTCCAGATGTACCTTTTGGAAAAAGGCTTTCTCAGTAAAACAAATTTTGTCTTCAATTATTTTCATATTGCATATTTTTCCTATTTGAATTTTTGATTTGAAAGTATGGTAAAAACTGGTCAAATGTGCCAACAATCACATTTAAAAAATATACACTTTTTGATATACCATAAAAAAAAAA